TTTTTTTTTTTGGTACTGGGGATTGAACTCAGGACCTTGCGCTTGTGAGGCAGGCAGTGGAACCACTGAGCTAAATTCCTGGCCCAAGAAAATATATTCTTTAAAAAAATAGATAAATAAAAATAAAATTTTAAAAATGTTTCTTAAAAGAACACATCTGAAGTGAGAAAACTATCCTTCACCTTAACTGGTTTTTTATTTTTGTTTTTTCTTTTGCACTGGGGATCAAACTCAGATCCTTGCGCTTGGCAAGCGGTCACCAGAACCACTGAGCTAAATCCCCAGCCTCAATTGGGTTTTTATTTATCCTTTTTCTAGTTACAAAAGCACACGTTAGAAAATCTGTGAGGTATATTATGAAAGAATGGTTCAGTCCCTTTGGACCTTACTTCTGTATCTCCAAATCATACCTTCATATTGATGCTTCCTGACTCAGTTTTCAGATATTATTTGTCCTCTCCCCTCTCCTTCCCTCTCTTTCTGTTTCCTAGCTTTGCCTCCTCTGCTTCTACAACATGTGCTTCCTGTCTTCCTGCACCTGCGGTACTAGCACAGGTTTGTAACACAGGTATCCAGAGTTGGCATCTCTGTGACTGTGTAACTGTGTCCATGGCTGAAATAGTTACTATTACTTCTTTTCCCCTTCCTGCTTTACCCCCTGAGTTAATACTTGTATCAAGTTTTTGTTTTGCTTTGTATGTAGCTCTAATTCAACCCTAAATTCTACCTTGGTGTGTAAATGCCTCCTTATCTTGAAACACACCAGATTGTATATAGATTTTATATCCTTAAAGACAGCCTCTCGGTAGCCTTCTGGTCAGCTTCCTTCTGGAGAGGCTCTGTCCAGGTCTGCTGCATGGCTGTCTTCTTGAGATCTCCTTTTACCACTGTAGAAGTCTGTTTTCTGTTGTTATAACTAAATATCTGAGGCTGGATATTTCTATCAACCTATCTATCTATCTATCTATTTATTTATTTTTGTTTTTTGAGACAGGGTCTCACTATGTAGTTGAGACTGACCTGGAACTCACTATGTAGCCCAGGCTGGTCTTGAAATTACAGCGATCCTCCTGCCTCAGCCTCCTGAGTGCTGGGATTACAGTTGTGCACCACCACGCCCTGCTAACCTTTCTATTTATTACCTATCATCTCTCTGTATGCCTATCTGTCTATTGATTGAGATTTTTGTCTGTTTGTTTTTGGTACTGGGAATCAAACTGGGGACCTTGTGCTTGCAAGGCAGGGTGGAACAACTCAGCTAAATCCCCAGCTCTTGCTTGAGTTTTTTGAGACAGGATCTTGCTGTGCAGTTCAAGCTCACTTTGCACTCACTATGTAGCCCAGGCTGACCTTGAACTCCTGGTGATCCTCCTGCTTCAGCCCCCTATTGTGCTAGGACTACAGGTGTGTGCCGCCATGCTGGGCCTGCATATGAATTTTGTATCTGATGCTGCCCACCACTGTCTTGGGTGTCTGCTCGTACCTGAGTGTGGAGCCACTGAAAGCTGATCGGGACTGCAGCTGTGGACAATGCCCTGGAGCCTTCACCCGATGCCACTGAGCTGCTTCCCAGGAGCCCCTGCAGAGCCGACTTTGGGCCTTGCCTCAGCTGCCACGTTCCTTGCAGGAGATGCCTCTCATCACCTGCCTGATCATGCCAGTGTTTATGTCTTCTGTGGCTTCTGCAAAGAAAGCCTGCTGACGTCTTACTCTTTTCAGTGCCGGCTCAGATTCCACTTCCTTAGTTCTAGTAAATAAGTTACCATGTGCTCATCTGGTACCTGGCTTAAAAACACTTTGTTCCTACTGTTCCTCTCAGTCTTGTGGTTCCTGTGGCTTGTGGCATTACAAAACCCTCTTGCTGCCATTATGATTTGGGTGGCTGCAGAGGTAAATATGTGATTCAGTGGTGCCACCGCCTGCCTCACAAGCACAAGGCCCTGAGTTCGATCCCCAGTACAAAAAAAAAAATGCTATGTGATTCACCCACTACCTTTACCCAATGCACTCCGTTTTTTGTTTTTTTTTAATTAAATTTTATTTTAAAAAAAAGAGAGAGAAAAGGGCCAGAGATTTAGCTCAGTGGTTCTACCGCCTGCCTTGCAAGCAGAGGGACCTGAGTTCGATCCCCGTACTACCTTTACCCAATGCCCTCCGTTTTGTTTTTTTTTTTTAATTAAATTTTATTTAAAAAAAAAAGAGAGAGAAAAGGGCCAGGGATTTAGCTCAGTGGTTCTACCGCCTGCCTTGCAAGCAGAGGGACCTGAGTTCGATCCCCAGTATCAAAATAACAAACAAACAAACAAATAAATTTTATTTTATTTTATCCTATACCCCTCCTTAACCATCCTCACTCTGGTTTCTTTTGAGTAAACCTTTCATTGAAGTCCAACACAGCCATACATGGCAGCACAGGACGCTAATCACAGCACTCTGGGAGGCTGAGGCAGGAGGATTGCAAATTTGAGCCCAGCCTGGGCAACTATGCAACTTAAGGAGACTCTGTCTCAAAAAAATTTTAAAAAATGCAGAGGGAAGTAGCTTAATGTGAAGGCCCTGGTTCAATCCCCAGTATCAAAAATCAAAACAAAACATAGTTTCCACAGCCACCACCTTTGTTTATGACTAATTTTTTTTTCCACTAAGTAGTGTAGGCTGGCCTTACACTCTCGGTGATCTTCCTGCCTCAGCCTCCCTAGTGCTGAGATTACAGGTGTGCGCCCCCACATCTGGTTATTTATGACTAAATTGTTGCACCCTAATAAATAGTTTCCATTTTCAAAAAAGGAAGCAATAGCTTCATGAAAAAATTGAGACTTCAGGGATATAGGTTGATTTGGATACATAAAGGGAAAAGAAGAAAAACTTCAAAAGTGGTAGACAAGACCGAGAGTTGGAGGGAAGTGGGGAGGGAAAGGAAGGGGAGGTAAAAGAGCTAGTGTTCTCCACCGGTGCCTTCCCTGTGTTGAAAAGAAGAAAAACTTCAAAAGTGGTAGACAAGACCGAGAGTTGGAGGGAAGTGGGGAGGGAAAGGAAGGGGAGGTAAAAGAGCTAGTGTTCTCCACTGGTGCCAATTCCCTGTGTGTGTGTGTGTGTGTGTGTGTGTGTGCTGCACACACGTACTTACTCAAAGTTAGAAAACAAAAAGAAAAGGTGGCAGACCAGGCTGTGGCTGTAGCTCGGGGCAGAGCGCTTGCCTGGCGAGCGTGAGGCCCTGGGCCCGACCTGCGGGAGGCTGGAGGGACCCCCTCAGGGCACCTCAGGTGGGGAGGGCGCGAGGGGCAGACTGCAAGGGAGCCGGCGCCCGATAAGGCTGATTTTGTGCCAAGAGGAGGAGGACATTTCGTCGTGTCACGCGACTGCCCCTGTGCGCGGGACTCACACGTTTGCACGCGATGGAGACACAATACTGATGCGATGTGATAGCTCGCGCTGTTTCCTGCCGGGGGCTCTGGTGTTGGCAGCGTCACGGCTGCGCAGTGAGCGAGGGTGGAGACGACGCCATCACCGCTGTCACTGTCACTTTAGGCGGAGAATCAGCTCCTCATGTGTCAGCGCGGAGAGAGCTAATGTGTCAGCCTCTCACACGGAGGCTACAGAATTAAAACACGATTCTCACTTCAAACTGTGCAGGAAAAAACCAAACAGAAACAAAGCGTTTAAGAAAAAGCGCAGCGCCTCTCAAGCACAATGACACGAGTTCAATCCCTGGTACCAAGGTACCAAAAACAAACAAACAAAAAAGAAAGCACCTGTCAGCTCTGCCGGACACCAGCAAACCCGCTCTGTTGCAGTCGCATCCCGGGCTGGGCCCTAGCCCTGCATCTCAGCAGTGTCCCTGAGGTTCCGCTTGGTTTTTAGGCACTTTTGGGGAGGGCGCGAGGGGCAGACTGCAAGGGAGCCGGCGCCCGATAAGGCTGATTTTGTGCCAAGAGGAGGAGGACATTTCGTCGTGTCACGCGACTGCCCCTGTGCGCGGGACTCACACGTTTGCACGCGATGGAGAC